GGTCTGATTGGTTCGCTCTGTCTGCACGTCGGTTTGTGGGTGGTAGGCAGACGAGAATTGCAGGCGGGTGCCGTACTGTTCCCATGTCTCTTGCCAGAACTTGGACGTAAATTTGGGATCGCGGTCGCTGATGACTGCCGATGGGAGGCAAGGCAAACGAACAACGGTGGAGATGAAGAGTTTGGCAGTTTCTTTGGGTGTAATGGTCGTGCGACAGGGTGCGAAACGCGCCATTTTTGTTAAGCGATCGACGACGACGATGACGGTGTCGTTGCCATTTGCGCCGGCCGGAAGTCCCGTGACGAAGTCCATAGTTATGTGTTGCCACGGGGGTGGCTTGAGCGGTTGCAGCAGTCCAGCTGGACGCTGTCGAGAGGACTTCATGCGCTGGCAGGTCGTTGGTGGAGGTTGCGGGTGAAAAATGGGTCGGTGCTGTAGCCGTGGGTAAATAGTCCAGTGAGCAGTGGGTTGGATTGTGCAATGATGATCGAGGCGAGATGGGCGGACGGTCGTGTCAGTGCGTTGGTGATGTTATTTGCCCCATGTTTGTACGTAATGGTGTAGCGGAAGTTGCTCTCCAGGAAATCTAGCCAACGAATCTGTCGTGGGTTGAGGTTCGGCTGCGCGCGGAGGTACTATAGGGATTTGTGGTCTGTCCGTACTGTCACGTTGGCTCCCGTCACGTAGCAGCGCCACACTTTGAACGCGTGTACGATGGCGAGCATTTCTTTGTCGTGGACGGGATAGTTGCGCTCGGCTGCCTGCAAGTTCATGGACTCGTACGCGATTGGTTGGAGGCTGTCGCTGAAATCCTGTAACAGTACCGCGCTGATGGCAAAATCGCTAGCGTCAAGACTTCGAACGGTCGAGTAGGATCAGCGATTCGGAGGACCGGGGGTGACATCAGAAAATTTATGAGTTCGTCAAAAGCAGCTTGCTGTCTCTCCCCCCACTCAAAAGAAGTTCCCTTCCATAGCAGGTCAGTTAAAGGTCCGGTTGTCCCTACCATATTGGTGATAAATCGTCAGACATAATTAACGAACCCGAGAAAACTCTGCAGCTCTTGTAAATTCGTGGGCGGCTTCAAGTCGCAGATGGTGGTGATCTTCTTCGGGTCGATTTTAATGCCTTCCGCTCCGACGACGTATCCCAAAAATTCCAGTTCGGATTTTAGGAACTCGCACTTAGAGCCCTTGGTGATGAGTCGATTCTATTGCAGCCATTGAAAAACCCGGTTGAGGACCTGGAGGTGCTGTTCCTATGTCTTGCTGAAGACCAAGATGTCATCGAGATAGACGATGACGCACTTGTCGAGTAAATCTCTGAACATGCCGTTCATGGTCAGTTGGATTGTAGAGGGCGCATTCGTGAGGCCAAAAGGCATCACCGTGTACTCGTAGCTGCTGTAGCGGGTTCGGAACGGTGTCTTGTGGCAGTCGTCAGCGAAAACTCGGATTTGATGGTAACCGCCTCGCAGGTCAATCTTGCTGAAGAAGCGAGCCCGGCGAAGTTGGTCGAGGAGATCGTCCGCGTGTGGGATTGGGTAGCGAGATTTGATGGTTCGTCGATTCAGTGCCCGGTAATCAATACACATTCATAGCCCTCCATCTTTTTTTTGGCGTGAATAGAATGGGCGCTGCGAACGGGGACGTGATGGGTCGAATAAACCCCTTCTCCAGTAGGTAGTCCAGCTGGTTTCGCAACTCCGTGAGTTCAGGCTGAATCAGCCGCCACTGTGTCCTGACGACGGTTGGCTGCGCGCAAGGTCTCAGGTCAATTTTATGGTCCTGGGGGCGCTCAGGTGGCAATCCGGCTGGCAGGTCATCCGGAAAAATATCCGGGTGCTGTCGAATCAGCGCAGCGAGCTCGGCAGGGACACTAGCACAAAGTTTGTCGATATCCTTCAGCGTGTTATCAGCTGTCGCTTCGTGCAGATGGACAGCGTACAAATTAGCTCCCCGCTCAACCGCTCGCTGGAGGGTGAGGGCATTGACATGTGTCGACACCGGATCCCGCCCGCGCCAGCACGGTAGTACGCGCCACCCATTCGCACAGTGCACGCTGCATTCGTCAGTTGTCCAGTCGATGCATGGGTTGTATTTTCGCAGCCAATCGCGTCCGAGAAGGATGTCGCAACCGTCAAGCGTCGTCGCCGGCATGGGCATGCTGAATCCGAAATCGTCACCACACTTCATCCGCACCATTCGCGCTTATTACCGAATTGCACGTGGCGTCCCGTTCACCAGTCGCGCGTCGATTTCGGGAAGAGATTTCTCTAATGTCATCTTCAACTGCTTTGCTGTGGTCACGTGGATCAGGCTATGACTAGCTCCGCCATCCACAAATTACTTATTTTTTTTCCATTCACCTTGCCTTCGACTAGCACAGGGTGATCTTCAGGTTCGCTCCCGTTATTCGTCCGAGTGCGGTCGATAGCATGTATCGGTACCACAACTTGGTGGGAACGCTGAAGTTCGTGCGACAAAGCCTCGTCAGTAGGGGGCCCGTCTGCTACTGAATTTTCCCATTTCCCGGCTTCTAATTGTCGTTCTTCGTCTTCTTGGGCGCCGTCGGACAGTACTTAGCTCGGTGACCTGGCTTGTCACATCTATAGCATAGCCCATGAAATACTTCATCAGGCGCAAACACGCCATTGATCGTGGGGCGGGGAGACTGTCCACGAAAACGATCAACGTCTTGGGCCGGGATCGCTGCAACTCGTACTAAATGTCATAATGCAGCCGGCTGATGTATTGATCCCGCCTTTCTGCTTCGTTGAGGTCGTCCACTTGGTCCGCAAGTGCCGAGAACGACGCAGCGTAATCTTGAATAGTAGTAACCTGCTGCCAGCTGCGCAGCTTCATGCGAGCGTCGTCTGCGGCGGATGAGTGCTCAAAATGAGCTCGCAGAGATGTGCCCTACTGTTTCCACGTGCGAATCGTGGTCGTACCGAATATCGTTTCTGCCTATTGGTTTGAAGAATCTGAAGTCCCGTCCTTCGCCTGCGTCACGCCTGCCAGAGTCCCAATCGCCAACTGTCGTCGCCACCAATCCAACGCCGGTCCTCGGAGCAGCGACACGGCATAATTGATGCGTGAGTCGTCTGTATGCACACTTGCAGCCGTAAAGATGAGCTCCATGCTGAACAACCACCCTCGCGCCGTCGTCGCCTTGTCCGAAGGGTTGAACGGGGGCGGCGTGACGGGCTTGAGCTTAATCTTCGTAACAGTTACATTGCACGCGTCGTCCTGCTCCAACTCCTGTGCGAGCTCTTCAAGGACGGTTTCGCTCACCTCGTCGTTGGCTTCTGGCTTGACATCATTCTCTGCTACTCTAGGCGACTCTTGGCGCGCTTCACCACACGTCTGGCGAAGCTCGGTGTTCTCCATCCGAAGTCTCATGACTTCACTGTTCAAACTCGCCATCTGGGCTTGCATTGCCTGCATCTAAGCCATGAACTTGACTAGCTGGGCCTGAGTCATCATGCGAATGCTACGCCTTTCGGGCAGGGGAAAGGCCATGATAAGAAACCGCAGGGGGCGCAGTTGTGTGAGCGAATAACTCTAGCCCACTGACAACCGCTTAGCAGCCCCGCAGGATTAACCACGCATTGGAAATAAACTACCCTGGGAAAGCGGGGTGAACCAAGAAAGTAGCTCTGATACCAGATGTGATGAATAATAACAGAGAGTGCGCGGAATAATAATGACGAGTACAAGAATGGGTGCCTAACATTATATAGCGAGAATTCTAGCTAGGCGACGAGCCCGGAGGACTAAGTTGGGCACAGGCGCGGTCGAAAGTGCCGGAGGCGGCGCGAGCCAACCTCGGGGTCGCGTCGGAAACGGACCGAGCCTGGTCTTCCGAGAGTTCGGGTGTACGCGATTGCAGTACAACCCGGTAAGGAATAGAATTCCTTACAACCGCAATGTAAGAGCTGCCTTGGTGAGTACGTACTGTGCTGGACTGAGAGTCAGGATCTGGTTACTGAGAAGTTCCGTTGCGATATCGTTCGCAACGTGTCGCACGGGCCGTTCGTCGACAAATTGCGGCTCGCAGCCGAAAGGGGGTGCTTTTCACACGTCGGCGGCACAATATTGATGGGACCACATCGGCGGTGACGGTCACCGCGCCAACGAATCTCCTCCTGATTCGCGGGCCCGAGCCCAGCCAATTTCCAAATGAACCGAATGTCTCCCTGGAATAATCTCGAGTTACTCACGTCGCGCGACTCGCCGTTCCCAAGTCGACGCAATGCCGGGCAGATTCCGCAGCGGCTTGAGCACCAAAATACCAGCCAGTCTGCCCGTCTCGTTGGGCTGCGAAAAAGGTTCGATGCACCCTCCTGCTAGGGGCGACTCTTCACTTCGTTCGAAGTTTTTCATTTCTGATTTCCAGCACTTCATGGACAATTGACGGCGGGCATGCAAATCCTGCCCAGCGCATCGCCTCGGGAGCTCCTCAAGAAAGTTCCGAACAGGGCTCTGGCTAACAGAGTAATTGCCCTTAATGTAAAGAAATTAAGAGCTGTTTTCAACCCGATTCCGTTTTTCTGCTTAACGGACTGATTTATCGGGTTACTTTTTTTTTAATTCCGTGTGAGATCTGTTCGTGGTGGTGTATCACCCCCTCCCACCCTCCCCTCTACCTCCACTAAGCAGAGAGAGAGGCTAGTTAGCGGGAAAATGTTCTACACTTCCAACCGCCCGAGGCATAGTATGTGCGAGAAACAGTCCCTGAAGTTCGAAAGCTTTCCTTAGGATGCTTTGGCAGGCCATTTGTCTTTGAGGATGTTACTATCAAACCAAGAGTAGCTTTTCGACGAATCCGTAGTTTAATGGGTAGTGTTTCGACGATTCCGTCCGCTAACGGGTAATTTTGGGGCCGATTCCGTGACCTAACGGAATACCCCAGGCCTTGGTGAGAGCCTTGGTTCCGAGGCCGCAAAGATAGGACATCTTGTCCCATCAGCTTTTTGGCCCCAGATTTCTCAGCAGATTTCTTGAGAGAGCCTCGGTTTGGGGTGATTGACTCGTATCCTCCAGAGTGGGGACCTCCATTTGCTCGACCCAATCAGATCAGCTTGGCACTCCCAGCTCTTTCCCTCTCGAGACTGCCATTACTACAGCCATGATGCTGGGAATTCGCAGGCGTCGGTAAAGCAGGTCTCTGCTGGTCTGCTGGTCTTTCCTTCACTCCCTCTTACTTAGACTTCGAAACATTGCTGCCAGTGAACACCTGTTGACACAATCATCGACACAATGGCGTGCCAGGTCGCGCGGAGCGTGTCGAGCATCGATCTCGAAGACGCATTTTTATCAAGCTCCTTCTACAATGCAGCCAGCTGCACCAGCAGCAGTATGGATAATACCAAGGACCAGCTCACGTGCGCGAGCATCTCGCCAGATATCCGCGCCACCGTCGTTAATCTCCTCTCCAACAGCCCACGAATCGGCGGCGGCCAATCCCCGCTCTCGTCGTTTTTCAACATATGGAATGTCCCCATGAGTCCCATACCTGGATGCTCGCCTCGGCACACCCCCGTACCTGGATGCTCGCCTCGGCACACCCCCGTACCGGGATGCTCGCCTCGGCACACCCCCGTACCTGGATGTTCGCCTAGGCATAGCCCTAACCCGAGCTCGCTGTGCCTCGGAGAACCGGCGCAACTGCAGCAGAGCGGTCGCCAAGAAAGCTCGAAATCGCAGGGCCAATCACAGCAGCAGCAGCCTGCTGAGCAGCAGAACCAGCAGCAGGGGCTTCAGCATAGTTCGCAGCAGCAGCACACATCGCCGCAAGTGTCGCAGCACGTGTCGCCACACCACGCGTCGCCGCAGGTGTTTCTTACGCCTCAGCAGCTGCTGTCGCCGCAGCCGTTCACTACGACGCCGCAGTCGCACACGCCTTCGCACACGCCTTCGCACGCGCAGTCGTCGCCGTCGCCCATCCAGTCGCTGTCGCCACTCCCGAGGCAGCAGCTGTTCCACCAGTTCCTGTCGCCGCCGCCAGCGTCGCAGCCACAGTTGCAGCTGTCGCAGCAGATCGCACAAACCTCGCCAAACCATCAGTACCAGTCGCCTGAACAGCTGCACCACCAGCAGCAGAGTGACAGCTGGCAGTCGCAGCACTGGTCGCAGGACACGTCGCAGCAAGAGTCGGGAATCAGCCCGGTCCACTTGATTTCGTCGTTCAGCAGTAAGGCTCTAGGCGATCCCGCCGCCGTCGTTAAGAGCCCGGCGCAGCGCAGCATCTCTCCCACGCGGGAGCGCCGCAGCAGCAGCATCAGCAACCTGAATTACAGCGACGCGACGCTCCCCTTTAGCCCGCTCTCGCAGCGTGTCCCGCCTTCCACGGCGTGCTCCACGGCGTGCTCTGCGAGGGAGTGTGCCACTCCTTGCTGGGATAATGGGACGCAGAGAGCAGAGACGACCATATCCGTTTTCTCGTCATCGCTTTCGTCGGCGACAGCACCGGAGCTGATTCCCGTCCCCATCCCCGTTACAGGAAACTGCGATATAGACACTGATGTCTGTAACCAGAGTTCGCTACAGTGCCGCCGCCACTGCCCCGTCCCTCACGGGAAGAGTATCCTCCCAGTGACGTGGATGTCGCCGTCCGAAAGCGCATTAGTAGCTAACTTTAAGAGCTGGTGGGCGATTCTTAGAGATTGGCTTGGTACCGTGGGCATTCGTGAGCTGGCTGGTGTAAGCTCACAGGAAAGGCAGCAACAGCAGCACCAGCAGCAACAGCAGCACCAGCAGCAGCAGTTGCACTATTGCTATCGCGATCACCCACAGCAGCAGCAGATGCAAAAGCAGCAGCAGCAGGCGTCTTCGCCTTCGAAACTGCGCGCTCCCCTCGGCCTGCCTCCCCGCCCGCCCCGCCACTCCAGGGGCTCGGTGGGTGGCCTCCGCCGCTCCCGCTCCGGGGGGGCGCTCTCCGCCGCTGGGTTGGGATTCGCGGGCGTGGGGGGAAGATTCGTAGGCGCGGGGGGGTTGGGGATATGCCACGGCGGGGAGGCGTGGACGTCGGTGTTTCTGAGCGTGCTGCTGGGATCGCTGTTCTGTGTGCTGCTGCTGCTGCCAGGTATGCAGTGATGGGTGTGTGACTTGACTCATATTCGCAAGGAGTGGGTGTGACGTGCATCGGATTGCGGGGGGTGGAGGTAAGGGAGGTGTTGGGATTGCGGGGGGTGGAGGTAAGGGAGGTGTTGGGATTGCAGGGGGTGGAGGTAAGTGAGGTGTTGGGGTTTCTGGGAGGGGCGTGGAGTGGGGGCAGAATAGGAGGGCGTGGAGAGGCGTGCACAGCGGTGTTTCTGAGCGTGCTGCTGGGATCGCTGTTCCGCGTGCTGCTGCTGCTGCTGCCAGGTATGCCATAACTGGATCGTTGCAATGGTAATGTGCTGCTGCTGCTGCTGCTGCTGCTGCTGCTGCAGCTGGCAGGTATGCAATGACTGGATCGTTGTAATGGTGGTGTGCTGCTGCTGCTGCCGCTGCTGCCAGGTATGCAAGGATTGGGTGTGTGCGGTCTATTGGAGTCGTGGGAGCATGGGGGGTTTGGGGGTACCTTTGTATCGACTCAAAAGAACGGGGGTTTGGGGGTGCAAGTTTGGGGTACAGGAGGGTTTGGGATGGGGGAGGGGAAGAGGAGGAGGTGGGGAGGCCTGCATGTTGGTAGTTCTGAGCATGCGGCTGCTGCTGCGCAAGCATTGCGTGTGATGGTTTTGAGCGTGCGGCTGCTGCTTCCAGGTGTGCAGTGATGGCTCTAAGATTGCTGCTGCTGCTGCTGCTGCCGCTGCTGCTGCTGCTGCTTCTGCTGGAGCTGCTACTTCTGCGGCTGGTGGTGGTGGCACTGCTGCTCGTTCCAGGTGTGTCAGTGGGTGTGATTCAAGGGGGGGGACAGGAAGGAAAGGGGGATTTGGCAAGGCTTTTAAGGGGGTTGGGGGGGGCGGGGGAGGGGGGGTTGTAAGTGCAGAAAGAAGGGAGGTGTCAATGGCACCAGCAGTTTTTTTTTTTCTTTTTCCTCTTAGGTCACCAAAGCGTGCTTTTCAACTGTTTGTGCTCCAGAGGTGGATCGTTATATTGTTCACTGCTTCTGTGTCCCATCCCATCCATGCTATAAGCAGTCCCCCCACCATCTTCCCACCGTCTTCCCAAATGTGCATCCCCCCTGGCTCCCTGCAGGTGAAGCTGTGCTGTAGACCGCGCAAAGCAGAGAGGCAGAGGAAGGGACGAATGAGCGGCGTATGGTGCAGAGGGGGACGGGCACAGGGGAAGGCGACAACCTAGGACAAGCAGAGGACTGCAGGCAAAGTATTCCACGCTTAACTAGTTGATGCAGGCTACGGACGGATAGAGGTGTTGTAGCAAGCTGATACGGTACATCATTTGTGACAAGGGTAGCAATCCCTACACCTACCTAATATGAGTAGATAGCATAGGACTTCGTACAGTGGGTAACCAAACAAAATAGAGTATCCAGTCTTTGGTGTAGAGAGGATTTTGCCCAAAAAACTGTACCACGAATGGCTCACATATGGATTGCTTTCTGTTGGAAATATCTCACAGAACTTAAGCGTTTCTGAAGTGTAACACTACACTCGAGGAAGACTACAGGGGAGCACGCGAGTCAACGGAGGTTACACGAGGGGGCGGACAAAGAATGCGAAAAGACCCGAAAGGTCGCAACTGGAGGTTGCGACTGACCGTTACAGCATCACGGATGGTAACCGAAGCGGCAATCGAGTCGCTATGCGACTCGATAAACCGTTCCTGTAACTGTACTCTGCAACTGCTTTCTTATCTTCTATATATTGCTGTATGCTTGTTTCTTTAATCAATCACTTGTTCTCACATACTAGTACAAGGGTTCAACTGCCTCAACTTCCGCTGCACTACCCCAAGTCTCAAAGTCTCTACAGCTGGGACTTAGTCTCTGGAAAGATCCCAAGGGCTTTTCTCAGCCCAACATGGTATGAGAGCTGGTCAGAGACCAAACTCCCAGCAACTACACTCCATCAACAACCAGCAACTCAACTTGATTCAACAACTCCATTGATTACAAGACATGGACAACAAGGGCAAGAAAGTCTCTACGGGCTCACCCAGCGCCCAAGAAACTCAACACGGCAACTCTGGTCTGCACACCTCAGGACTGCAGACAGAGACCGGGACTGCTCAAGAAACAACGGGAAGAGTACCAGAGATGGTGACTCCGTCTCCCTCTTCAAGTGTGGACCCGAATCTCATGGAGAGATTCTTCAGCTTCATGTCACACTTCGACCAGCAGCAGCAGACAAGGACACCTGCGCAATCAACACAGAGCAATTGAGGGAATATGGGATTAGCACCGATGAGCCTCGACAACTCATCCTTCGGGCGACACAACCAAGCGCCTACCTTTGCGCCTTATCATTCTTCGCCGGGGACGTTCGAATTCATGCCGCCCCGTGCCCAGCCAACAGCAGCTGCATCACAACAAACACCGAATGAAATCTTAAGTTTACAGGCGCAGTTCTCACACGTGATCAAACTTCAGACATCCTCACCGTTCAACGGACACGACTTCTTTACCTGGAGCTTCGAGTTCGAGCTGCTGATGGAGGCCGCGCATCTTCTGGGATACTTCAACGGGTCCCTGCCATTCCCAAGCAACGGCACTGGGAAGGAACAAGAGATCTTCACGTATCAGTCGCTGCTGGCGTACACGGTACTCCTGAGAAACCTGTCACCACAAGAGCAGCAGAGCATCAGAACGTATCGGAGTTATGGAAACTCCGCGGAGCTCGCATGGCACCACCTCAAGTGCCTTTACCAAGCAAACGACAGCGTGACACAAAGCAGACTCATGCAACAGCTGACAACAATACAGATGAAGACCGGGGAAAAAGCGATGCAGTATATGAGTCGCTGCCAGACCCTCCGCGACCGCCTGCTTCGGTGCGGAGGAACAATCACTGAAGAAAGCTTCGTGACACTTGTCCTCGCCGGGCTCGGGCCAGAATGGAGAACCACACGATCACTTCTTCGAGCCCACGGAAGAATTTCGGAGATGCACCTCTGCGCCGAGCTTCACGCTGAACAACAGGAGATGGATCTGTTCGAGGAAAGACAACCAAGAGCAGTTAGTCTTCTACACTCAAAGAAGAAATGACAACAACTACAACCGACGCAGCAAGCAAGATCAACGCGACAACCGAGGACTCACCATCGTACCGCCGTTCTGCCACAACTGCCAGACTTCCGGGCACTCCAAAGTCAACTGCAACCGCCCTCGCGTTTACCGTGCAGCAGACCCACAAGTCACTTCCACTCAAGCAAGTCCTCCAAGGCGCTCTTCAACATCTGCACAACAAACACCCAACATCATCAACTGCATGGTACACATCGACAACTGCGCACCCGGTTCACCACCCACTTACGCACCAGACGAAGAGGAATTCCCGCCGCCGCGCTCGCAAGGACTTTAGGTCAACCCGACATACGCTGCAGTCGCCAACGCCGAACCCACCGGGCGAAACACCTGGTTCTTGGACAGCTGCTGCGGTCAACACATGTGCTCCTCGGGACGCTTCGTGCAACAGGAGAAACGACTCAACCGCGACGTCGTCATCACAGTCGCCAACAACGAAAACCTGAAGACAAACAGACAAGGCGTGGTTCAGTTACAATCCATGGAAACAAACGTAATACTGCAGCTCAACAAAGTGCTCATTGTCGACAACCTGGGATACAATCTACTAAGCGTAAGCCAACTAATGGCCAAAGGGATTCACCTGGAGTGCGACTCTTACTCCAACGAGTTCCGGCTTTACCACGGGAAGGGCGGCCTCTTCATCGGTCGTGCCCTCCTGAAGTCCGGTGTCTTCGTGTTGGACTTCGTCCTCGACCGCGGAACTGCCGACAGCGATGGCATCGTATCGTTCGCCGCCTGGACTCACCCGCCGGATCTTGATCCCGACTTCGACAGTGACGGCTTCTGGCACTCCAACACCATACCTGCAGCAGAGAGAACACGAGCATTAGCAGTTATCAGACAAGAAAGACAAGTACCCGCAAGTGTCCCAACAAAACCATCACCTGCAGTATCGGCAGCAGGACCCAGCCGAGTACCACCACCATCAACACGAGGACCGCCAACGGAAGCAGACCAACTTATGCCCGCCACACGAGAAGCTTGTCGAAGTCCCGCCTCAGTCGTCGCGTTCTTCTCCAACGCCGACATCTACCACCGCTCGCCCGGTCACCGTGCTCCCGACGACATCTGGCACCAACGCCTCGGACACCCTGCAAACAGCACAATACTTCAAACAATCCAAGCAGAGGTGTTAGAACGCAACGCCCTTCTGACGACGAGCGGTCAAGAACTTCGACGACCACGCGCACGGTGCTTCACATGCCCCGAAGCAGATCTTCCTCATCAACCTTTTCCATCCCATCACAACCCAAGCGCACCTACTTACGCTCCGATGGAAAAAGTCTACAGCGATATTTTAAACATGCCTCGAGACGACGCCGAAGCCGACTTTAACTACGTCATCACTTTCATCGACGCCGCAACCAGATATGTCTGGCACTTCAATCTCAAAACGCGCGACCAAGCCTTCGAAGCCTTCACAACATGGCTCCCCATCGCCGAACGAGAATCAGGACTCAAACTCAAGAGCTTCCAGTCAGACGGTGCACTGGAATACCAGTCACAACGCTTCAGGACCTATCTGGCGGAAAGGGGAATCAGACGCCTGGTGTCCCTGCCCTATGCTCACCAACAGCAGGGGGTAGCAGAACGCATGAATCGGACCTTGCAGACGACGATGCGAAAACTGCTTCAGGGGATGCGACTGCCAACCACACTGTGGCCAGACGCGATGACACATGCTGTTCACCTGCACAACCTGCTGTCCTCGTCATCACTTCCCAACAACGCATCACCGCACCTGTTGTGGACAAGAAAAAGGGGCAGCACAAAATTACTCAGAGTCTTTGGCTGCATGGTACAGTACAGACCCCACACAGCCCGAGCAGGACGCTTCACACAACGAGCTCGGTGGGGACTCCACCTCGGCATCGCGAAACATTTTCATGCGTGGAAAATTCTCGACATACAAGACAAAAACACGGTGGCATCACGAGACGTTATCTTCTACGAACGACTGACTCTGCAGCATTACCTGGACAACCTTGCCAACACACAAGACCCCACCGACGGCCTCTCGGGACTTCGTTCCTTCGCCGATCGTGCTGCCGAAGCTGACGCAGCAGAAGAAGACGTACCTGGAGCCTCGGAAGCTGCCGGGCCACTCCCATTCTGTTCCGTACCTGTTCCACTCGATGAAGATAATCCCCTCGATAGCAACAACCTCGACACCTTTTACCACTTCGCCGACCAAGGTTACGCTACACCTCACCCCGTCGACACGAATATTTCCGAACGCATCGGCCCCAATTTCTTACCTGACCCCGAAGACGGTGACGAAGCAGCTTATTCCGGGAATGACAATTCCCCTCGACACACACCCACGAGACTCCAGATTCTAGGCCTCTGGGTCTCCGTCCAGCATCCGCCGCCGCCTTCTACGCGTGAGCCTTCAACCTTGTCGCAGGCTCTGGGGGGGGAACATAAGGCAAAATGGAAAGAAGCGATGGAAAAGGAGTTAAAAGCTCTGCAAGACCGAGAAACATGGAAACTGGTACCTGCAACGAGCATCAACGGGAAGAACGTTCTCTCGGGGAAATGGGTGTACCGCATCAAGACCAACTCAGACGGCTCCATCGAACGATTCAAAGCTCGATGGGTCGTACGAGGCTTCGATCAACGATACGGAACCGACTACACAGAAACCTTCGCTCCAGTCTCCCGTCACACCTCATTACGCATCCTACTCGCCGTCGCGGCCACAAAAACACTACCACTACGCCAAATCGATGTCGCGAATGCGTTCCTATACGCACCTGTGGACGCTGAGATCTTCGTCGAACAACCCCACGGATTCATCGACGACCCCACGAAAATATGCCGACTGACAAAATCCCTATACGGGATCAAGCAAGCCCCGCGGCTCTGGCAGCAGCATCTTCACAGCCGTCTCGTAAAAATCGGCTTCCTACAGCTGCCGCATGACCAAGGGATGTACTGACTGCAGAAGGGAAGAGAGTATGTTCTGCTCATCGTCTACGTCGACGACCTGCTCTACATCGGCTCCACTACCGACATCGCCACCTGGTTCGAAGGGGAGCTGAAAGAAGATTTAACTCTCACGGTGTCCGACGAAGTTACGCAGTACCTAGGACTGAACGTCGTCGAAGACGACACGGCGTTCTACCTACACGCTGGAAAGTACTCAAGCACCGTCGCGAAGAAATTCGGTCTAACACCGACTGCGGTCCCAACTCCCTACCGCTACGGGAACAACAGCAGCGCCTCTACAAAACTCCCCGCGAAACAAATCCAGGAGTATCAACAGAAGCTCGGCTGCCTACTATTCGCATCAGTAAACTGCCGACCCGACCTGTCCTATAGTGCGAGTCAGTTGGCGACACATCTGAAGCAGCCGAAACAGGAAGATCTCGAGGAACTCAATCGAGCGCTACTCTACTTCGTCTCCACGCCGACGATCGGGCTCACCTACAGCAAGGCCACAACACCGTCCGTACGACTACTCGGATACGTCGACGCCGACCACGCGGGAGACAGCGAAAATCGACGGTCTAGGACGGGCTACATCTACCGACTAGAACCTATCGGAACTATCTCCTGGCAGTCGAGCTAACAGGAGTTAATCGCACTATCCTCGGCCGAAGCAGAGTATATCGCCCTTTGTACTGCGACCAAGGAAGGACTCTATCTACGAGAGTTACTCGAGGAAGCGAAGATTGCGACCTTGCCCGCCTTCTCACTCCTCTGCGACAACCAATCTGCGATCAAAATCGCAAACAAGGACGGCTTCGCCAACCGAACCAAGCACATCGCCCTGCGGTACTTCTTCGTCAATGATGAAATCGCGAAGGGGAGACTTCAACTCAGTTACTGCCCGACGACAGAAATGGCCGCAGACTACCTGACGAAGAAATTGGCGAAAGCAAAATTCGACTACTGCATGCTCCTGACCGGGCAAACAAACGTCACCGGACCCGAACATGACAGCACTCCAGAAACGAAGGGGAGTGTTGGAAATATCTCAAAGAACTTAAGCGTTTCTGAAGTGTAACACTACACTCGAGGAAGACTACAGGGGAGCACGCGAGTCAACGGAGGTTACACGAGGGGGCGGACAAAGAATGCGAAAAGACCCGAAAGGTCGCAACTGGAGGTTGCGACTGACCGTTACAGCATCACGGATGGTAACCGAAGCGGCAATTGAGTCGCTATGCGACTCGATAAACCGTTCCTGTAACTGTACTCTGCAACTGCTTTCTTATCTTCTATATATTGCTGTATGCTTGTTTCTTTAATCAATCACTTGTTCTCATATACTAGTACAAGGGTTCAACTGCCTCAACTTCCGCTGCACTACTCCAAGTCTCAAGTCTCCACAGCTGGAACTTAGTCTCTGCAAAAGATCCTAAGGGCTTTTCTCAGCCCAACAGGTTGCACTAAATCGCCCCAGTTAATGTGCTACAGTTGCTGTGACAGTTTCTACAAGACTGCAGTGTGCGCCTTGATCCATGGATGCTCTGACAAGGGCAGTTGGGGGCACAATGAGGCAGAGAATGTGACAGAAGTGGGAGGTTGAGGGGAAGAGAGGGGAACAGGAGGGCGAGAGAGATGGGAGGGAGAGAACAGGACAGGAAGGTGTGATGGAAGTTTCTTGGAAGGCAGAAGAGAGTGAGTGAGAGAGAGAGTGTGAGTGAGTGGTGGTGGGTGGTGCGTGAGAGAAGAAAAGGGTTCAGGCGCATGATAGAGGGAACAAAAGAGCAGACAACCATCCTAGCACCACCCTGTTTTCCCTCACGCTCCCATCCCGACATTCTCATACTCCTATAGCCCCATTCCCTCCCATATCTCCACACCCTCCCCAACCCCGACACCCGCCCATCCCCCGCGCCCTCCCACAAATCCCCTCCCCTGTCACCTAGAAAAACAACCCTAAAAAATTGTACAAATTCGAGGAAAGGGAACTTACGGAGCACAGAATCCAGTGTCATTCTCTCCGCTGGGTCTTTTTTTAGCATCCCCTTTATAAGGTCCTTGGCCTCTTTCGATATAGAGGGCCAGGGAGGGAAGCTAAAATTGAGAGGCTTAGAAACGATTGCATCCAGCACTCCAGATTCTGTGGACGCCCAGAAGGGCGGCACGCCGGCCAGAAGGACGTATAGGACGACTCCGGCAGACCAGATGTCGGCCTCGGCACTGTAGCTTTTGTTGATTACTTCTGGAGCCATGTACATGTGTGATCCTATGAATTCAGTCAGCTTGGCGCCTAGGGGAGGGAAGGAGAAGGACCAATGGAAGGAGAAGGGGTGAAGAAAATGAGAGGAAGAGGAGAGAAAGAAGCATGTCAGCCTAGCAGCCTTCTGGAGCCATGTACATGTGTGACCCTAGGAGCTCGGTCAGCTTGGCGCCTGGGGGAGGGAGACGGGGGAGGGGAGGAGAGGAGAAAGGGAAAGGGGATATGCTGTGGTAACCCTGTGCCTGACAGAAACAAGGCAAGCGATCTTTCTGCTAACGGAAACTCCATGCTGCAGCTCTTCCTCCAATGAGTGACGATCCTTGGCATCTCACTCACGTTCATGTGTGATCCTAAAAATGCTGTTAGCTTGGCCCTTGGCGGAAGGGAAGAGGGGAGGGGCGGGAAAGGGAAAGGAAAGGGAAAGGAAAGGGAAAGGGAAAGGGACAAGAATATCAAGGAGAGGGGAGTCGAAAAAATTGTCAGCTTGGGGAAGCAGAAGGAGAAGAAAGTGAAGTTTGTTAGCCTAGCAATTCCGCAGCCATGGGCATGGCTGAACTTACAGCCTCCGATAGCTTGGAGCTTCTCCCGCTCACCTGTCGAATCAGCCACTCACCTGATTTGACAGAAGCAGCAATCCCCAAATCCGTGCCCTTCAGTGCCCTTCAGTGCCCTTCAGTGCCCTTCAGTGCCCTTCAGTGCCCTTCAGTGCCACATCATGAGTGGGTAAGAAGAGCAGCAGGTTTTCCAGCCTCACATCTCGGTGCGTCACCCCCAGCCCAGCACGTGGCACGCCTGCAGCACCAGAGCCAGCTGCTGCAGCACCCTCAACCCTTGACCGACGACCCACCGTCCCACTGACCCACCGCCCCACTTCCCCTTCACCCACCTGATTTCACAGAAGCAGCGATTCCGAAGTCAGTGACCTTGACTGCCACGTCATCACTAGGAGAGCAGAGCAGCAGGTTTTCGGGCTTGACGTCCCGGTGCATGACCCCCAGCGCGTGGCTCGCCCGCAGCACCAGCGCCAGCTGCTGCAGCACCCCGGCAGCGGGCCGCTCCTCGTAGCGGCTGCGCTGCTTAATGCGGTCGAACAGGTCACCTCCTGCGCACAGCTCCATGATGATGTGCACATGCTGCATTTGAGTGGGGGCAATGGGGAATGGGGGACGAGGGAGGGGTGGAGAACAAGGGGAAGGAAGGGTATCAGCACGAGCGCCAGTGCCAGCACCAGCACCAGCACCAGCGCCAGCACCAGCCAGCACCAGCACCAGCACCAGCACCAGCACCAGCACCAGCGCCGCCACAGTCAGCACCTCAAAACGGTGCATCACTGCAGCAGGCCTCTCCTCGTAGACCACACTGTCATAGCATTGCAACGTGTGTAACCATCCGGTTACACACATAGACCATGCGGTTACACACATAGACCCTGCCGTTACACACATAGACCCTGCCATTACACACATGGAACATGGCACCATATCCATGTATGCATGTACTATGTCATCGTCCACCATATCCAGGTGTGGTGTGCGGTACTCATGTCGACTGTCTCCTTCAGCTCCACCACCTGCGGGTGCATGCAGGTCCTCTGTCTGTCACCGTCTCCATCAGCAGCCTCAGGAGTGCCGCACACCACACCATGCCGCCTCGCAGATATGCATGTCATGTCACCATACCATTGTGTCATATCACACCCATACCGTGTCATCCTCCACCGTCTCCTTCAGTTCCACCACATGCGGATGCCCCATGAGCAGGCGCATCACTGCCACCTCCCTCCTCAACGCTGCCACCGCCTCCTTGCTCTGCTTGGGGAATGGGGAAGGAGATAGAGGGGATTTGGAACGGGACGGGCAGGGTAGAGCGGAGTGGAAGTGCGATGCCCCATCAGCAGCCGCATCACTGCCACCTCTCATCTCAGTGTCGCCACTGCATCCTTGCTCCGCAGGCCGGAGGGCACCGAGGGGACGAAAGCAGGGGGTGGTGGTCCTTGTCGGAGAAGAGTGGTGGAGCACGGGGCTAGGACGACCCACAAGGAGCCGGGAGGTTTACAGGGAGCACACCTGTAGTTGCCACTGCTTTCAAAGCTGTTTTAGGCTTTTTAGAATTCTCACAACGCTCACATTACTGATGGTAACTGTGATGGTAACTGTGATGGTAACTGTGATGGTAACTGTATGGTAACTGTGATGGTAACTGTGATGGTAACTGTGATGGTAACTGTATGGTAACTGTGATGGTAACTGTGATGGTAACTGTATGGTAACTGTGATGGTAACTGTGATGGTAACTGTATGGTAACTGTGATGGTAACTGTGATGGTAACTGTGATGGTAACTGTGATGGTAACTGTCTTACCATCACACCCACCTGTATCTGCGCCTTGCCAATGCTCTTGCACGCCCACGTCTTGCCCGTCTCCTTCTCCCGCACCGCCCGGATCATCCCATAAGACCCGCTCCCGATCTCCTGCTTAACTAAGTACCGCTCCTGAAGGGAGCTAAGCTCGTGGCCTAAGAGACCCACTTTAGGCAGCCGCCAGGAGCCGATGATTCCCCGGGGGGACAGCATGCTGGATAAGAAGCTGGCTTTGAAGCCACCAGAGGGAGTAGGCGGTGCAAGGGGAGAGATGGGCATTTCGATCTGCAGAGGGCTGATGCTCCGGATTCGGTTGTTACTGCTGCTGCTATGGTTGGTGCTGCCTTTGAGGCTGTTCTGGCTGTTGTCAGGAGCAGCCATGGCTGACTTGTCATGGCTACTGCTCTTCCCCCCCTCTTTCTCCCTCTTCCCCTCCCTTGTCCGCTCCTTCCCCACACGCCTCCCCCCCTCCCTTGACTTTTCCCTGCCACTCCCCCTAACCACCACCGTCAAACTCCCCACTCTCTCACACATCCTCCCTTTTTCCCCCTCTCTAACTCCCCCTCTTAGCCCCTCCTTGTCAAGTGCGGTGCCTAGATCGTTGTTAAGACCTCCTTTAAGGTCTCTACTAAGGTCAACGGGGTCAACGCTCAGGTCAGCGCTGAAGTCAAAGCTGATGTTGCCCTGAGACTTCCCTCTCCGCTCCTTGGAGCTCCGCATCGGGCTCGTATCCCGGCTGCTTCTGCTCGAGATTCCAACACCAGCAGCAGCAGCCGCAGGGGCAGCAGAAGAGGCACCAGCAGCAGCAGCAGCAGCAGCAGCAGCGACGGTAGCAGCAGCAGCAGCAGCAGCTGAAGCTGACTGTTTCTGCCTGTGCTCCTCAAAGCGAGACGAGGAGGAGGAGGACGCATAATCGGCCCCTGAGTAACCCGCTCCGGCTGCTTTCAAGTCCAGTTTCAGATCCATCACTGTAGTCTCAAGATCCTGCAGATACTTTCTCTCTGCTGCCCGAAACGACGTGCCGCCCGATTTCCCCCGGGAGCGGCTGGGAGTGATGGCACCGCGCACCTTGGAGGCATCCAGGGCCCCACCAGAGGGCTTGGAGGGGTCTCCGCTGGTGGACTTGAGGTCCTTCGTTCGCCGCATAGTGGCGTATACCTTCTCGTTGCTGCGCGCCATGGCACTGTCTCGCCTGGAGGGCTTTGCAGGGTACTCGTGACTCTCCTTCCTTCCTCCGCTCTCCTTCCGCTCCCCACCTCCCTCTCCTTCCCTGTCCCCTCCTTTCCTCAGCTCTACCTCTTCCCTCTCCCTCGGCTGCTGAGCGGTATCATCAGCATCCGACCCACTTCTTTCCTTTGCCCCTCCCCTCTCCCTTTCCCTCTCCCTTTCTCTCTCCCTTTCCCTCTCCCTTTCCTTCTCCCTATCCTTCTCCCTTCCCCTCTCCCTTTCCTTCTCCTTTTCCTTCTCTTCCCGGCCTTCTCTGAATGAAGCCCGGCCACTAGAGCTGCTCCTGCACTCTCCCCCTCCGCCCCCTTCCCCCCCTCTCTCATTCTCCCCTTCCCTTTCCCGCAGTTGTTTCATCAGCAATGCTTCAGCCGCCCCTTCCTGCCCCCCTCTTCCCTTCCCCTCCCGCCTGCTCCTACCCCTCTCGCCTCCCTCCTCCTCCCCTATCCCCCTCTCCCGCCGCTCCCCCTCCTCCCCCTCCCCCCCCTCCTCCGCCCACCCCATCTCCCCCTCCCCCCCTCTCGACCGCCTGCCCACCCGCAGCTGCCGCAGCCGGCGCTGTCGGCGCCGCCTCTGCTGCTCTTTCTCGTCGTCCGTGTGCATATGCTCAAGTAACAATGGCTGCTCTTTCTCTTCTCTTGGGCTTCGTGCCTGCTCGCCTCTCGGGCTTCGCCCGCTGTCACTTCTGGGGCTTCTGCCCTGCTCTCCCCTATGCCGTCTACCCTGCTCCCCCTTTGGGCTTCTGCCTTTGCCATCCCTTGGGCTTCTCCTCCATTCGTCTCTCGGGCTTCTGGCATTTCTCCGCCTTCCCCCCCTTGGGCTTTTACCCTGATCTTTGGGGCTTAGAGTACCTGTCTGCTCCCCAGAACTCCCCACCCTCACCACCACTACTCTCTCCCCGTCCTCATCATCCCCCTCATCCCCCCCTTTCAGCGGCTCCAGATGTGACGCCCACTCATTCACAACAACCCTCCGATTCCTACCACACCTCTCCCGCACTTTCTCCTTCTCCTCCTCTTTCTCCTTCTCCTCCTCTTTCTCCCCCTCTTCCTGCACATGCCAGCTCCTATGTCCCCCTCTCTCCCCACCTCTCTCCCCCACTCTCTCCTCCACTCTCTTCCCAGCCCTGCCACTGTGCGCATCTGATTCGCTGTCGCCCACACTCACGCCCTCGTCAGCCGCTTCAATATAGTCAACCACTCCAAAACTCACAGCTGACTTGGCTCGCCGGTGGTTCCTTGCACCCGCTGCTGCTTCAGCCGTTGCAGCAGCAATAGCATCACCAGAAACAGCAGCAGCAGCAGCAGCAGCAGTAGCAGCAGCAGCAGCAGCAGCAGTAGCAGCAGCAGCAGCTGCATCAGCACCACTGCTTCTATCCCGTCTGGAGCCCTCTAAGAAGCTCCGGCCACTCCTGCCGTCCTCCCTCGCTCTAGAGCTGCCTGCTTGCTTGAGGCTGCGAGAGGAGACAGAAGATGCGAGCTTTCTTCCACTGCTGCTGTTACTGCTGTGACTGTAACTGTGACTGTAACTGTGACTGTAACTGTGACTGTGTCTGGCTGCTGAGTTACCTTGATCTGGGGCAGAGAGTGCGGTCTCAGGTACCTCAGCGCTTGTTAAAGCAACGGGTGCTGTTGCTGCTGCTGCTGCTGCTGCTGCTTCAGCAGCAGGGGAAAGAGCAGCAGCAGAGGAAGCAGAGCCGGAGGTAGCAGCAGGGGACACAGGGACCAGTGGAGATGCAGCTGCAGGAGAGAAGGAAAAGGGAGAGAGCACAATGGCGTCCATGCTTCTGTTGGTGGATCGAAGGCGGTCCTTCCGCCGCGACCAGAGCGGCTGCTCGCGGCCGCGGCTGCTGCCGCTGGTCTCTCTTGCTCGCCCACTTGTGCTCGCTGCTGCTGCTGCTGCTCCTGCTGCTTCTTCTAGTGCTGCTGCTGACCCTGCCCCAGCACTGGCTTCAGCTGCTTCTGCTGTCCTTTCAACTGCTGATTCTGTGGCTCTCAGTCTTCCCTGCTGCAAACTTCCACTCTCACCCTCCATTCCTGTTCCCCTCCCCTTCTCCTTCTTCTCTTCCTCCCTCTCCCTTTCCTTCCCCGTCTCCAACCCCCCCTCCCTTTTCCTCTCCATTTCTTCCCCTCGTCGTACCTCCTTTAGCTTCCCAGCCTCCACGTCTTTTACTTTAAACGAGTCAGTCGCTTTAAAGGATCTAGACCCTTGGCTCCGGCCTCTAGGAGTCAAAGCCCCACTCTTGGAACATCCACTACTGCCACTACTAACAGCAGCAGAAGCAGCAACAGAAAAAGCACCAGAACTCCTATCGACATCACCACTCAAACTGCCACCAATAGCACCAGCACCAGCACCAGCAGTTGCACTGCTTCTAGGAGTGGTTACGCCTGAAATGGGCGTACCTGACCTAGTCGTGCCTGCTCTGGGTGTTCCTTCCCTGGGTGTGCCTTCTGTGAATGCACCTCCCCTAGATGCACCTGCCCTGGGTGTACCTGCTCCCCTCCTAGGCGTGCCAGGCAGCTCATTCTCTTGGCTCTGACCAACGGTTACATCCAAGGCCAATCTCCTGCTGCCACGTGGCGTGGCTCGAGCAGCAAGGGAGCCAGCGCCAGGGGAGGGAGAAGGCGGGGGATCAGCGGAATAGAGGGCGCCAGGGAGGGGAGACGGGGAGAGAGGAGAAAGGAGAGCACCCTGAGGGAGAGAGGGGGGAGGATGCGGGGAGTAGAGGGTTCCCTGGAGGGGAGAAGGGGCGCAAGGAAAAAGGGGGACATTGAGGGGAGGAGAAGGGGGAGTGCCAAAGCGAGGAGACGGAGGAGCGCCAAAGCGAGAAGGCAGAGGGAGCACTTCAGTGCTGGGCGGCTGCTCTACAGGGATGGCGTCTGCCGACACCCACAAGCGGGAGAGCAGCAGTGAGGAGAGATCCTTCTTGGGCGTGCCAGGAGTCCTGCCAGGTGTGCCAGGAGTCCTGTCAGGTGTGCCAGGTGCCTTGGCCCCACTCGCCATTCTCTGAACTATGCTGCTGCTGCTGCTGCTGCTGCTGCTGCTGCTGCTGCTGCTTGTGGTGGTGGTGGTGGTGGTGGTAGCGGTGGTACTGCTGCCGCCACTCCTACTGGTAAGCCTTGGGCTTTTGGAATCGGAGCGAGAAACCCTAACTCTGATGATCTTGCTGCTGCTGGTGCTGCTGCTGACAGTTTGTTCTGCTGGTGCTGCTGCTGGTGTTTTATCCGCGCCTATGGGGGCTTCCCCAGTCAGAGAGGCAGCAGGGGGAAATAGGCTGGCAAGGGCTGCAGCATCGGTTGGGGTGGTGGAAGAGGCGGAAGATGGAGAGGAGTTGAATTCGGTGCTCAGCGATGGAGGTACAATGGAGATGGCAGGCTGGAAGGAAAGAGGAGGGTGAGGAGAGGCGGATGAAGGGGAATGAGAGGGGAAGGAAGAGGAAGGAGAGGAGGAGGAAGAGGAGGAGGAGGAAGAGGAGGAGGCATGGGCAGAGTAGTGGGCGGGTGGATGAGGGAGAAACAAGGAGGGTTGACTGCTGCTCGTGGGACTGAGCAGGGGATGGGTGTGCGATGGAGGGTGGGGGATGTGCAGTGGAGGGTGGAAAAAGTTGAAGGGAGGGTGGAGGGGGACTTTCATTGAGGGATGGATGGCACCGCCAGAAGAAGCAGTAGAAGCACCAATGGCGGCATTCACACTGAAGTTGAAGGATCCCGCTTCAGAAGGAACGGCATACTGAGCAGCGTGCTGCTGCTGCTGCTGCTGATGCGTCAACTGCAACCCATGCTGCTGCTCCAGCTGCTGCAGCTGCTGCTGTAGCTGAAGCAGCTGCTGATGCACCTGCTGGATCTGCGGGTGCTGAATCTGTTGGGTGTTCGTCTGTGGCCGCTGTTGCGGCGGCGGCTGCTGTTGCTGCTGCTGCTGCTGCTGCTGCTGCGCTTGCTGAATTTGTGAGTGCTGCGCATTCACCTGTTGCTGCTGCTGCTGGTCGTCTGCCATCTCTCTTCTCGGCTTGTCATTCTCCAACGGCTGGCACACAGGTAAATCCTCATCTCCATCCTCCTCTCCATCATCCTCCTCCCCCTCATCCCCCCCCTCATCCCCTTTCGTCCCCTCGGTTCGTCGTTCTGTCCCAGAGTTCCCCGCACTCCTTCCTTCCTCCTTGCTCCCCCCAGCACCAGGCCAGGATTCGTGCAAGTCCTCGGCGCGTGGAGCCACCAGCCCATACAGGTCCCCCTGAGAGTCGTCACTTGCTAACGCACCCTCCGCCTCCCACACCTTCCGGAGCACTTGAGAGGGGGAAGAGGGGGAGAGGGGGAAGGAGAAGGGGAAGGGGGGCGCGCGGGAGGAAGAGGGGGAGAGTGGAGGGTGGAAGGGAGGAGGTTGGGTGAGGAGAGAGGGAGAAGGAGGTCCAGCTACCAGGTGGAAGCGTGGGGGAGCGGAATGTGGGGAGGCAGCTGTAGGCGAGTGGGGATGTGGGGCGGGTGCGTGAGGGGACGATGGGTGGGGCAAGTCATGGCTTGGCAGCATAGGGTTTGGAGACCCCGGGTGGGGAGACCCGGGATGAGGAGATCCGGGGTTCGAACCGTGATGGGAGGAAGGGGAGAGAGGAAGTGAGAGCGCCGTGGGTATCGGCATGGGCATGGGCATGGGCATGGGCAGGGAGGCATCTGCTATGTGGAGGGGCGGAGGCAGGCGGAAGGACTGGGAACCTCTGGCGTCTAAAGCGTTGCTCTCACACGGGTTGACCTGTGGAAGGTTGTTCTGAAGAGAATTAGGGCTGGCTTGGGGGAGGTTGATCTGCGGCTGTGGGAACGCTAGGGGGAAAGCTTTAGATGAAGGGAATCCAGGCGCAAGGGGATGTGGGGGATGGTGTGAGTGTTGCAGCAGCGGGGGGGGCGCGATGGCGGGGGGCAATGGGGAGGGGGAAAACGGGACATGGGGAGCGGGAGCGGCCCGGCGGGGGGACAGGGGAATGGGTGGGCCCGAATGGAGGGAGCCAGGAGCAAGGATGGAGAGGATTGGGAGGGGTTGCTGCTGCTGCTGCTGCTGCTGCTGCGTGGTTGGGTTGACTCGAGGACTCAGCCACGAGAGGAGCATGGAGTCCTGAAACGCCTCGCTGGCCGCTGCTGCTGCTGCTGCAGCTGCAGTTGCTGCTGGTGCTGCCGTTGCTGCTGGTGCTATTGCCCCTCCACCTGCTGCTGCTGCGCCTGCTGTTGCTCCAGTTTCCCCAGCTGGTGGCAGCCAAGAGGACGAGAGCGTGATCCTTCTGTGAACGGAAGGAGCGTGATCCTCATCATCCCCCGCCTCCTCTTTTCCGTCTTCACTCCTTTCCTCCGCTTCCTCGTCGCTCCTTCCCTCTGCCCCTTCTTCCCTCCCCTCCTCTGCTCCTTGCTCCCTCCTTTCCTCCCCCCCTCCCTCCCGCCCTCCCTCCGTCCCTCCCTCCTCCTCTCCCTCTCTCCCTTCACCTCTCCCATCTGCCCCACTCCGCCTCTCTTCCCTGACTTGCCTGCCTCCCTTCTCCTTGCTCTTCTTTTCCGCCTTCGCCCCCCCCCGAATCCTCCGCTCCCTCCTCTCCTCACTCTTCTCCTCTTCAAACTTCGGAGGCAAAGCGGCCGCGAAAAAGCGCGGAGACAGCAAAGCGCCAGGCGAGCGCTCGATGGTGGAACGCCATTGGCTGGCGCCCTTCGAGCCGCGCAGAAGCTCCTCCTTCCCGCCAAGACTAAGACTAAGGTCAGCCGCCTCTCCAGTTCTTCGGTCCACGAAGCTTCCACGAACCAGCTTCTTTTGCCGCTGCTGCCGCTTCTCCTGCTGCTGCGGACTCTGCTGCTGCTGCTGCTGCTTTTCTAAGCGCCCTTTCTCCTCTCCCTTCCGTTCCCCTGCTAATTGCCTCTCGCGTTCCGTCCCTTGTGTTCTCATCTGCGCTTTCCCCTCCTCTCCCGTGTCACCCTCGTTTTCCTCGCTCTCCCCATGCTCTTCCCCCCTTTCCTCATCTGCCTGCCCGTTAGCGTCCCCGCTTCTTCCTTGCGCACCTGTCGCAGGGCTCCCAAACGACAAGGAGCCCGTCGCATCTGTCGCATCAGCGCTCGCCGCGCGTCGCCCTCGCGGAGAAGGGCTAAGCGCGGGAGGCCTTAGCGGGGGATGCGCTCTCTCCCCCCCTTCTCCCCTCGCCGGACCTGTAAAAGCGCTCCGGACCTTGCACCCCCGCGGGCTGCGCGCGGGGAGAATCTCCGCCAACGCGACTGTGCCGGAAAATGCGCAACTTGCGGAAGCGCCTTCCGCCCCGCCGGTCGTCCGCACGCCTGGGGAACGCAAGCGCTCGTGCGCCCAGTCCGCGGCGGTCAAGGTGGCGTCCGCGTCGGACTGCGCGCGGCGGTGGCTCGCTGGCGCTGGGCGGAACCTTTCCGCCGCCAGGCGCGCTTGTGCTCGCGCTGCATCGACCGCGCTAGGCAGTAAACTCTTTCCAAACGCCGGGGTATCAGATAGATTAATAACGGGGATGCTGGTAACGGAGCTACCGCAGCTTACGGTACTGCCGTGGCGACCAATCTCGTTGCTGCTGCCGCCGCCGCTGCTGCTGCTGCTGCTGCTGCTGTTGCCGCTGCCGCTGCCGCTGCTGCTGCTGCTGCTGCTGCTGCTGCTGCTGCTGCTGCTGCTGCCGCCGCCGCTGCTGCTGCTGCTGCTGCTGCTGCTGCTGCTGCTGCTGCTGCTGCTGCTGCTGCTGCTGCTGCTGCCAATGCCATGGTTCGTTTCTCCGTACTTCCCGCGAGGGACCGTGCTACTGGGCAAATCAAGATGTATTTCCGGAAAGGACGCTCGCTTCCGGTGCTGCTGCTGCTGCTGCTGCTGCTGCTGCTGCTGCTGCTGCTGCTGCTGCTGCGGTTGCTTCGGCGGAGGTCGCTGAAAGCTCGCCTGTCGCCGGTAACTAATCTGACGGCTGAAGCTCTCCTGCCGGTCGAACGGTTTTTGCCGGTTATGCGTTTCCACACGGCTGAAGCTTTCTAAACGGAGAAACTTATCCTGACGGCCGGGCAGCACCTGACGCTGGTTGACGCTCGCCTGACGGCTAGAAATGCTCTCCTGTCGGTGATAGCTCTCCTGCCGGTTAAAGCTCTCCTGCCGTTCCAAGCTCGCCTGACGGTTGAAGCTATCCTGCCGGCTGTGACTTGCGTGAAGGCAGGAAACGTTCGATTGACCTGCACTATCGGCGCCGCCTGATGCGGACGCGGGAATAGCTCTTCTTTCCCGCGGTACTATCACAGATCCCTCATGCGCGCTGCGAGATTTCCCTGTGGGCCGGACTTTAATCGCCTTCCGAGCTCCCCCCGATTCCAGCGAGTCGCTCGTCGAAGCCACGTTGGCGAGCACGGCATCGCTGTCCTCGTCATGACGATTATCGTGACGGTTATCGTGACGGCTATCTTTCGTATCAGCGAAAGTAACTTGCGAAAAAACGACCGTCTGACGGGGCGATTTTAGAACGTCGTCAGGAAAGGTCATCTGCGGAGAGACCGTCCGACGTGGCGATTTAGGAACCTGCAACTCGGGAGAGCTGAGGACGTTGAACGACGCGGACCCGCGCGGACTCTTAGTCGGTGCAACGCGACGCGGCGACGGAAGCGCTGGTTCGTAAATTTCAGTCTCTATTGCATTCCGTGATTCCTGGTTGGCCTGATCGGGGGAGCTGGGGAAGTTGAACGACGCGGACCCGCGCGGGCTCTTAGAAGGTGCAATGCGACGCGGGGACGGAAGCGCTGGTTCGTACATTTGACTTGTCTTTATTCCCTTCCGCGATTCCTGGCCGGACTGGTCGTGGGAGTTAAACGATGAATCAACACTCTGAATTACCAACATGAACCCAGACATTGCATGAGGAAGGTTGGCGTTTAGCGCGTCTAATGGTGGAAGGCATCCGCTCTCGGAGCTTAGACGATGCGAATGGCGGGTTATTAGGGAATCTGCGGAACCTTGGTGCTCTAACGGATAAAGATCGTCATCGTCAGCCATTTTGACTCGTAATGCCAAAGCAATTTGGCATATGGGCACAGCTTCCCAGCTTGCTATTCGTGTTCTTCGCGCATGTGAGTCGAAGCAACGCGATGGGAAACAGGATGCGCGTATGGCAGGACTAGTTCGGCTAAGTCCTGGCTAGCTGTCAAGATCAGGAAGAGATCGCCCTCAGTTGGGCTCTGTACAAGTTGCGGACGCGGTTCTTGTAGATCTCTTGGGGGTTCACATCGCAATACTAGGCGGTAACCTGTTTTCGTCATTGTTTCATAAGAAAAATACTGCTTCGGATTGGGTAGGAGCACGACGAAATCCAGGAGAGCCCCAGAGGGGAAAGCAAGGAGGACCTGGTGGGGCAGCAGCACCCATGATCACTAAGGCTGCAAAACGATCTAAACGAACCACTCCCTCGGACATACCTGTACAATCTCCGAGGCATGGATGGAAGAGACATTTCCCTCTCAGGGTAGTGGTGGGTAAGAGCGGGTTGCTTTGATGCCTCAACCTCTCCCACTTGTCCCTCCCAATCTGTCCCAAGTTTAGCGAGAACATTTTGGGGGCTGGGCCGGTGGTGATGTGGGGTGGGCCGGGCGGAATAAAAAGGGGGACAAGACAATGGAGGGTGTGGTGGACCAGCGGACACGTGGAAAGTAGTTTGTATCGTGAAATCCCGAATGATCCTCAAAGCTGAGGCGAAATTGCGACCTTCAACGAAAATGGTGATGAGCTCAAAACAGTCAACCCTTTTTGCCGCGTCTTGTATGGTTTCGCACCAAACCAAAACGGTTTTCGTCGTTCCAATCCCCGAGAGGCATTTTTTTGTTCTTCGAGGTTAGTCTGCTCCACAGCGAACCACGCGTTACAATCTCGTTGCTCCGTCACTATAGTTATTACTTGGCAAATTCGTCACACCCCTCCTTGTCTTTTTGTTCGGAAGCCATCCAGGAAGGTGGGTGGCTCTACAGAGAACTGTTACAGCCCTACTGTTGCGCCGCATCTTCCCGACAACATGCCAGCACGTCTGCGAATTCTACATTCTGATATGCTCTGGCCGATACATACAGGATTAGTTTAGCACATATACATGGAAAATGTTTGATAAGATTGCCCGTGGTTTAGAAAACACATTTCTGCATTCCCTTTTGCCGAGATAAATTTACGGAGGGTTCTACGAGGCCATTTACAATGTATTATTCATCTTTAAAACTTAGAAAATAACTAGGAGGATAACATCGCGGGCATACCCTCCTTGCCGTTGGGTGTCTTGTCAACCATAACATATGGCTATTTTCCTGTGTTTTTTTTTAGTCCTCATAGAATCTCAAGGCTATCACCATTGGTAGAATTTGCGGACGTGCTAGAATGTTGGCGGGAAGATGGAGTGCGACAGTAGGGCTATAACAGTTCTCTGTAGAGCCACCCATTTTCTTGGATGGCTTCAGAACAAAAAGACAAGGAGGGGTGTGCCAAATTTGCCAAGTAACAACTATAGTGAAGGAGCAACGAGATTGTGACGTGTGTTTCGCTGTGGAGTGGACTAACCTCAAAGAACAAGGCTAAACGGTACCCCTGACATTAAAGCCCGTGGCTACAATTGCACACCTAGAAGCCACATGAATTTGGTGCTTTGAAATCTGTCTAAGTATAGAATGAAAGACAGCTTTAAGTTCAAGCCTGAACAAGAAAAGCGTGTCGAAACGAATTTTAGTCGAGGTTCCTGATTGGAGGAATGGCGAAAGAACTCGTTTTGCTGTTAGTTGCGATACGATCATTTGGTTGCGATTTGCGCAAAAACACGGTGTGCATCGCACGGAGTTTCTACGACGGGTTTGGGAGATAAGCTTGCGACGAGGAAATACAGGCGCGTTATGACGACGAATTCAAGTGATTTCCATGTCTGCAATTCCGAAATCAGCTACTTCTCGCCAAAAAACACTGTTCTGCTCGCATTTTTACTGTTCACGGAACCACGAACTCAGTCGCATGACTCGTATTGCACTATTCACCGAATCATTTCGTGCAAAAGTATCGCCAAATCGCCACGGCCAGATTCCGTTTTGCAAGACGAAATGTTTTTATTCTAATTTGTTTACTCTAAAATTGAAATTGTGTGCCAAGTTCAAGAGGAAATCTCGACAGCCCTCTTGATTGCTATTTAGCCACGGGCTTTTAAACGCAGTCAGGGTTACCGTCAACCCAAAAACTCGCACGAGGTCGCAAGATTCACAGCTCGTCGGTGCACCTAGCCAAATTGGTTGCCTGCCAGTCTGGCACATGGTTTGAAGAACCTAAGAAACTCATGGAGGCTTCGAGAAACTCATGCGGAAAAAAAAAAAAAAAAAAAACTCGCTTAGCATTAAGTTACCAAGTGTTCTGCAAACAGGGAAACCCAGATCGCAAACCATTTTCACGAACCCACGATACATAAACTTACTGCATATACACAAACCCATCTCCTCACAAATATTTCACAGCGGAAAAAAATTGTTGTCGACGTGGTTACGGACGTTGCGAAAAAATAACAATCGTGAGATGAGTTTGTCATATTCGCTAGTTTGGCGCTGTATGGCACTCGACTCAGTGCTCCGAAGACCATTGGGCTGTGCGAGGTCATGCCAAGACACTCTGATTTTTTTTATTTGCCAGTCTAACATGAGAGCTGACGACACACTTCATCGCATGCAAACCTATCACTACGTCCTTACTGGCGCATGAGACCTTACGAGACCTTACGAAACCTTGCAAAATGAGGTGTGCATGACGACAAGAAATGGGGAGGCCTTTAGCTAGCAAGATAATTACCCTATATTTACAGAGATTAAGGGTTTGTTCCACAGAGATTCCGTTATGTCGATTTTTTCCCATTCGTCCAAATTTCGTAAACCATATCGCGCGTGATTCCTAATCCTAACGAGTAACTTTTCATTTGATTCGTATGGGCTACATCTGTATTAAGGCAATCTAGGTGTGCTAATAATGAAAATAAGGGTTTGCCATATGTTGAGAGTGAAAGCCTTTATATTTCTTGCTAGCCGAATTTGTAACGGGTGATTTCTTTTCGTCACGGGCTATTTGGGGGGGATTCTCTTTCGTAACTGTATTGTAATGGCATGTTTGACAACTGTTCATAATGGCGTGCTACTCACACAGTGCGTATCCAAAATATTTACCAGCACATCCGGATTGCCCCAGCTATTTACGCTGAATCAATATGAAAAAAATGTGAACAAATTCGGGGGTCGACCGTTTTGGCTCGCATGGCGAAACCATGCATCGCGCGGCAAAAAGGATCGACCATTCTGACCCCAACTCGATTTCCGTTTAAGTGCGCACTTTCGCCCAAAGGTGAGGGATGAGATGAGATGAGACCAACCTCTACTTTTTGGCAGCTCAGGCATGGTCCTTTTCTCTGCCCCATTGGCGGAAGTCGAGAATACTCGACAGGCTCAGAAGCCAAAAAGATTACAGCTGTTTCGGGGAGCACCACAAGCCGAAAAGATCAGGGCTGCTTGACAAAACTCTAGAAGATTATCATGACTTGTCGCTTTCTGTACGGGTGTGAAAATTCTGGGCATCATGTACACCGACAAGAATTTTACAAATACAGTATGAGCTGCGAAACAAGGTGGCAAGATCCGCGGTAAATCGTGCAAGGTAGCCTCCTGCCTGCAAGTTGTTTCGAACCAGTTAGGTGGTGCAACCTCTCACAACAGTCAGGGGCGTTTCTTGTTATGAATGAACAAGCAGAGTAGCGCGGAAATGAATAACGAAGTGTTCACTCAATGAATTTACGATACAAGGAATGGCAAGCCAAGATATAGGAACACCAGAGCTAGTCTAACCATGCGATGGGAAGGTTCGGGAAGGAGATCGAAGGGTCTCGAAGTGACGAAGCGAGGCCTGGAGAACTCCCGAAGGTCGAACTGGAAGGTCTGGAAAAACCGAGGCGGTTCTGTCAGGAGGCCTAGAACAGTCCCGAGGCTTCAGGTGTGTTCGAGCGTACGCGATAGCCGTACCGCTCGGTAAGGAATGGAAAATTCCTTACACCACCCCCCCCCCCCTTAGCGAAGGTGATGTATATCAGTTACGTGCTTGCGGTCCAAATAATTCGCAAGTATCGAATGTGACTGTATCTGGGCCGAAGGCACCCACGTGTCGTCTTCACTGGTACGATTGGTCCATCGTATCAGAAAGTCAACGTGTCGTCCTTGACCGTCGATACGAATTCGATGACTCAAGATCTTCGAAGGCTCGATGGTTGTCTCGGCTGGTGGCCGTACGTCGGGGACCAATCGCTGTCGGGCGATGTCCGAAATGTCAGGAACGAAGGGTCGCAACAGGCTCACGTGGAATTTGTTGTGAATACGCCAGTCATCAGGTAGGCGTAACTGGGCGGTCACCAGTGTCAACATTGTCACGATCTTGAATGGGCCACAGAAACGTGGTCGTAATTTCGTCGATAGTGGCAGTCGTAAATTCTTGGTGTCCAAAAGGACTAGTTGCCCTGTCGTCATCGTAATATCCCGTCGATGTAAATCCGCATACCGTCGGGCAGTTGCGTTCGCCTTGCGAATAAGTTCAACAGCTTTGTCTCGGGCAGTCTGTAATTTTTCGACGAACTGCTGCGATCGTGGTACTTGACTCTCAACGTTGGTGGAGATCGGCACTGTAGGGTCCAATCCCGTAATTGAGATAAAACGGGGAGTGATTAGTCGTAGCCGAGGGCGCGTTGTTGTAGGAAAATTCCAACATGGGCAGCACGTCCTCCCATTTTTTTCGGTCGGGGCAGTTTGTCTGAATCAGCTGCTCCATCGTTTGATTTGTCCTTTCCGTCTGGCCGTCCGTTTGGGGATGATACGCGGATGAGAACAGTAGACGCGTGCCGTATCGAGCCCACGTGTCATGCCTGAATTTTGACGTGAACTTCGGATCTCGATCGCTAATGATTGCTGCTGGTATCCCGTGTAGGCGAACGACGGTCGAGATGAACAGGCGCGCTGTTTCTTCGACTGTAATGGTTGTACGACATGGTGCGAAATGCGCCATCTTCGTCAGTCGGTCGACGACAACCAACACCGCGTCGTTTCCGCTAG